ATCTTTCCACAGAGCTGCTCCACAGCTGGGTAGATCCCAGCCTGTGCTGCACTCCTGGATTATGTTTTCACGGGTGCAAGACCTTACACTTGTCCTTGTGGAACTTCATAAGGTTCTTGTCAGACAGCTCTTCCTGCAGGGGGGGTCTCCCTTCCACACTTGTGCCTACATCTGCTTCCTCACTCAGTTTGGCATCATCAGCAAACTTCATCAGGATACACTTGACCCCATCATCTAGATCACTTATGAAGGTATTTAACAGCCTTGGGCCTAATATCGATCCCTGGGAGACCCCACTTGTGACAGGTCACCAGTTTGAAAAGGAGCTATTTATAACCACCCTCTGGGTGCAGCCTGTCAGCCAGTTCCCCATCCATCACACAAACCACTTGCCTAGACCATAACACATCAGTTTCTCTAGGTGAAGGCTGTGGGAAACAACATTGAAAGCCCTGGAGAAATCCGGGTACACAGTGTCCACTTCTCTCCGCACATCAACTGAGCAGGTTACTTTGTTGTAAAACGTGATTGGGTTTGTCAAGCATGATTTGCCTTTGGTGAACCTGTGCTGACTTTTCCTAATCACATGCTTCGTGTGACTTGTGATAGCCCCCAGGACGATTTGTTACATAACCTTCCCAGGGACTGAAGTAAGACTGATGGGCTTGCAATTTCCTGGATCCTCCTTTAAGCCCTTCTAGATGAGGGTGACATTAGCTTTCTTCCAGCCTTCTAGGATGTCCCCTGATCTCCATGACTTCTCAAGGATTATGGAGAGAGGCCTCCCAACAATGTCAGACAGCTCTCAAACTCCTTGGGTGGATAAGTCAGGGCCCATTGATTTGTAGGGGTCAAACTCCTGTTATAGTTCACATACCAACTCTTCCTTCACTGACAGTGGGTCTGTGTGTGCATCAACCTGGATTTTTGTTTCCAAGGTCTGGGATTAATGTCAAGTTCTTGGAAACAGTTCTTAAAAAGACTAGCTGCTAGATTCTTTTGGAGTAATTAATGTTTAAGTCCCAAGTTACTCCATGGAATTTCTGTATTAAGAAGGCAGACAAATTTACAACTATAGTAGTTTATTTGCATTCTACTTTTTTTTTTTTTTTTTACACTTTGGTAAGATTACATGTGGGGAGAGCAAAAAAAAAAAAAAAAAAAGGCAGTGTATTCTTAGATATTCCTGTGAGTTTAATAGCTTCTGAAATGCTGATGGCAGTACTTGAAGTTGTTCCTCTGGCTATTTCTGTTCCATTCAGTAATGTCTGAAAGCTGAGAGATTCTGCCTGTGGTTCAATTCCGCTCATTCAGTAGAAGTACTTTGTTGGTAATCCCTTATCTGAGAGTTAAAAGGTGCTTATGTGCCCCTTTAAAAATGTGTTTACTTACTTATATCTGATGCACGCTTGCAAGATAGCTTCTGCCCAATGAACAACACTGAAATTTTGTTTTCTCATGAATTCCTCTGCGTTGTCACCCACTGTAAAAGTAACAAGAATGACAAAACCCAAATGACTTGTAAACAGCATTATCTACAGCACCCTCCACCACAACTAATGCAGTTTTTTTTCCCCTAGTTATGGACTTTATCTTTCTAATACACATTTTAAAACTCGTCTCCTTAGGGCAGATCTCAGTGTTCCTGTTCTTACAGGTACTTCTGTGTGTCAGCTGCCACAAATAAACAGACAGCCATGGCTCCACAGCACACTGTTTGTTTTTTTTTTTTTTTTTTACAAAATTGCCTATATCTTGTCTTATCCTGGAAAGGCATTTTGTTTCCAATTTCTATTTTTATGGTTAACTACTTCAGCCTTTACTCTTAGAGCAATGACCTTGTTACAGTAGAGATCCTGCATCAAAGAGGAATTTGCTGTAATATGCTGTGACCTGTCTGCATGCCACCAGATACTTTGTGAATACAACAGAACGGGGATTTGCATTTCAGTACCTACTGCCCAATGGCCTAACCAAAGTCCCTTTCATGGTTCAGCTAGAAAACTCAAGTATCCCTTTAAAGAGCACTGTTATCAGACTTAAAGGGGCTTGGTCTAAAACTGCTCAAAGATCTATGTGTAAGTACCAATTTTTAGAGATACTGAGCTTCCAGTGACTTCCTTGAGAATGTCAAGGACTCAGTAAATTATTACTTCTGAACACCTGTACTTTCAACCAAGCGTGTGTGCTTTTGATTACGCTGTCATGGCCAGAATTCAGTACTCCTAAATAAAAATTGATGGGGAAACATTAAGAGTACACATTAAGGGACATTAGTCATTGCATAGCACTGTAGGGAGAAGGAAGGAAGGTGGTAAAGAGCAAGACGATAATTTAGGAATTCTGACTCACCATCCTGCGGAACTGTTCTTTCTCTCCACTCATCACAGACAAAGCCTTAGTGCACTATGTAAGCAAACTGAGCCTACACTTGAGTGATGTGAATTTTCGTTCATAAACCTGTCTGCAGATGATTTTAATAACCACCAGGTAAAATTGTGTAATTCCTCATCTTTGGGCACAGAGAAATGGGAGGGGAACTTCTGGCCTTACCTTGTGTTCAAGAAGTAGGTTGGCTTTGATTGTGTAAAGCATTTACCTGAGCTAGTATGTGTGTGGAATAGTACTTATATAATTCTGTAATTATTTTCTAAATCCTGCTAAGGTCTTGCTAAGATCCACATTTTTTAATGTATTTTCAGCATCTTAGGTAATTAAAAAGGGCGTGAAGGACTTCCTATCAGCTTTGGTTAAAAAACCAAAACCAACCAACCGAACAAAACCAACCAACCAAAAAAAAAAACCACCCACACAAAACCAAAAAAACCCACCAAACGCTCCCCTCCCAAAAAAACCAAAGCAGCAGCAACAACAACAAAAAAAACCCAGAAAACAAACAAAAAACCCACCAAAACCCCAACAATAAACCAAACAAACCTTAATTCTTTTGGAAACCCTCTGGTCCAAATTTGCTAGTACAATTTCTCTTTCAAGCCATGAAAATGGGATTTTATAGCAATGGTTTATAGAAGAAAAAGCCCCAGAAAACTATACAAAGCTGACACTGAAAGCAGTATGCCTTGTGTTCTGCATGCTGAGCAATATCTGCTTCTCTTTGTGATGGTTTAAAGATAACATTGGCAAAAAGTGCACATATTAAAAAAAAAAAAATAAAAAAATCATTGTTTCATTTCAAAGAGCCATGACAAGAATGCAACACATTTTCCTTTTAGAGTGGGAAACCCTTCCTGTTAATCAAGAAAGCTTTCTAAACTCATCACCTGTAAAATGGATCTGCTATTACTTGTCGGATAAAGTAACCTTCTCAGAGATCTTCAAGTATATCCTACCATGAGATACTCAGTAAATAATATGCTGGTTTTCTTGTTGACTGCCCTGACACAGAGGCTATGTGTTGCTCTAGATTTTGTTATTCTTAGTTGCCTTCCTGAAATCCATGTTGCTGATGCTTGAGTGTGCTATTCGTCATTTGTCTTCTGTGAATGCTTATCCTTTTTTTCAGAGTGAGATCAGATACCTTTGAAGGTTTCTGCTGTGTATAATGGTTATTTTCTCTTTGGCAGCAAGATCTGCATGTTTAACCTTCTCACAGCTATATAAATACATGTTATGACAAATATGAATGTACTTGAAGAAATGTTGTGCATATGTGTGACAAAATACTTGTGCTTCATGTTAGATAAAATGTACACAATATTGGCACAGATATTTGTAAAATCTGAGTGCTGCAAAATACACAGCCTGTTAAAACAACAAAAGAATGTATGTGAGCTTGACTGAATTGTAACAGATTTAAGGTGACTGACATATGTCTGATGGGTAATTTGGTTTTTGATCATCACATTTCACAGGCCATTGAAACAGAAGTCCTTATATCCTAATCAATACAGAATTGCCTTGACTTCATTAAATTATAAAAGTGTGTAGATAGGGACATACTGAGAGCTGAGAATAATCTGTGATTTCTGTCATAATACGTTAATAAGTGTGTAGTGGGTTTGAGGTGGACAGAAAAGGAAGAGTGTGCACAAATAATTGGAACAAAAACTGTGATATTTTTTATTATAGCAGCAAGCTGGGAAAGGACACTCAAAATAACCCAGTATCTTCTAGATGGGACTCCTCCAGCAATGTAACACGTGACTTTCCTGGTTGTTCTTTGGAATGCAAAGAACAACCTGGATTTTATTAATTTAGATTCAATTAATAAATAGTTCTTATCTCAATTTTACGAGCTTCCTTGTCTTTTTCCTACAATTCTTCCCCTCCGCTGGTGGGGGGGAGGGGGAACCTGTGGGAGCATCTTCGTGGTATTTTGCTAGCCAGAGTTAAACCACGACAGTCTTGCAGGAAATCTTGAAAGAAATTGGCATTCTCCTAGTCACTTTATTCACATTAAAGATGTGTGTCTATGCCTTCAGTTGCTGAAGGCTTTCTCTGACTTCAGTCTCAAGTCTGAATTCCTCCAGTTTTTATCAGATTTTGTTATTGCTGATGATCTCATTTTTATGACAGCTTTGTCTTTGAAAAAAAATAAAAGCCAAAAACCCCACCACCAACCTCCCCCTCCCAAAACCAAAGAAAACCCAAACAAACTCCCCTGCCCCCCCCCCCAAAAAAAAAACCCAACACCACCACAACAAAACCCCCAACCTTGAAGCATGATCTGTAACTTAATGAAATAACGTTTAGGAAGAAGTATTAGCTTGGTCTCTTCTTTTCTTGTCCTACTTCTTGACCATTGTACATCATGGGTCAGCATCTTACTCTGAGTAGTTCTCCAGTCAGTAATGCTGTTTGAATTAATAGTTAGTGAGTAATGGGGTGTCACCCAAAAAGCTTATTGGTGTTAGATTCATAATATGGGCTAGCTAATTTTGAGTTAACCTGCTAGCAAAGGAAACCTGTATCAAGAGAACTTCAGTCCGATTTGCAATGTTTGTGAATGATTTAATTGATTTTCCTTATTTTTCTTACAGGAATTGTTTCAATTATGACTCTCACTGTTCTTGCCTATGAACGGTACATTCGAGTAGTCCATGCAAAAGTGATTGACTTCTCTTGGTCTTGGCGAGCTATCACATATGTCTGGCTCTACTCATTAGCCTGGACTGGAGCGCCTCTTTTGGGCTGGAACAGATACACACTGGAAATCCATGGATTAGGTTGCTCAGTGGACTGGAAGTCAAAAGACCCCACTGATACCTCCTTTGTGCTCCTTTTTTTCCTTGGCTGTCTAGTAGCACCTGTTGGAATCATGGCTTATTGCTATGGCCATATTCTATATGCGGTAAGAATGGTAAGTTAATTCAAATAAGTCTTCTCTTCATGTAATATTTTCAGTGAAAATTGTTGATGCTGTATCTGTAGCTTGGATCAGAGCCTAAATTTGCACTCTTGCTTCCTATTCAAACTTCTGAATGCTTAAAGTTCATCCGTGTCAGGTGCCACTAGAGAGGATGTGGGGTTGGAAGAGAACCAACCTAAAGTTAACATCATCTATTTGTTGTGTAGTTTTAGTGGGAGGCAGGTTAGGGAACTGCTCATGCTCAGTAATCCACATCAGATCCTTGAGAAAGGGGAAAAAGAAAACGGTTTGCAGTTCTCCTGATTAAAGAATTCTCTCTTCTCCTCCTCACTCTTGAGAAGATAACTCTGTAAAACTCATCCAAGTAGGCATTAAGCCCTGTTAGAACAGTTTTCCATGTTTTAAACCAACCCATTTTAATTCAGTCCACGTCTTTAGTGTCAGAAATTCTCAGTGTTTCTTTTTTTGGGGTAATCAGTCTGGAATTATTCAAGTTTGTGGTCAACAGTGTTGAACATTCATGTACATGCCCCATGACTTACTCGGGTAACACTGGGAACCTGCTGCCTAGTATTCTGCTTTAAATAGACATTTCATAATTCTAGGGTGACAGACTAAGTGGCAGAGCAGTACAGAGAAATATATTAATGAAATTTTCTTCTTTCTAAATGTTGCTGGTGTCTTGAATCTACAGGATTGTCTAACTAGTCAGGCAAAGGACCACTAAATGTAAACTGAACTTGCTTATGCTAGTGGATGAGGGCAAGTTAGTTTTCTAAAATACATACAAGTGCAGCATGTTTTGTTATATCGCTGGATTTGTTTTCCAGTAGATTTGCTATTCTTTTTTTTCCTCAGTTTAGATTTTTACACATAACATATAAAATAAAATTCTGAGAAGTGTGATGTAAACTTCTGGAAGAACTGTGGTTCACGAGATAAAATGTTTAGTGTCAATGTCTAAAACTAAATTAGCAAATTAGATATTTATAAATATTAGAACTGTTAAGTTTCAAGTAAAATACTGAGCTATTTTATATTACCATTTTATCTTTTGTTTCTACAGCTTCGCTGTGTGGAAGACTTCCAGACTGTTCAAGTGATCAAACTTCTAAAATATGAAAAGAAGGTGGCTAAAATGTGTTTCTTGATGATCTCCACATTCCTTATTTGCTGGATGCCCTATGCAGTGGTCTGTCTCCTGGTAACATACGGCTATAGCAACCTTGTAACTCCCACAGTAGCTATTATCCCATCTTTCTTTGCCAAGTCAAGCACTGCTTATAATCCAGTCATCTATATCTTCATGAGTAGAAAGGTAGGTACATCAAAGATTTTTGTATTTGAATAACTAGTAGCCAGTACCACAGTTGAGAAGTTTAGATCTGATTTACGTTAATCTATAAAGTTTAGATATTTTTTTTTTTTAAATTGAACAGCTAGGATAAATGATAAAGATCTATTAGAATTGAAGTCCTTGATGGTGCTTACAGTACTACCTTATCAGAAATTGGATTTTAAATGTCTGAATTCACACATGAGCACTCACTTGCAAGGGAGAGGAAGGCGTGTCAAAATGTCTAGTTTTGATAGTTTACCCATGAAATGGGTTACAACAAGGAAACCTCGCCTGAATCACTCCCTTACCACAACAGAACTCTATCAGAGAAAAATCAGAATATCTGGTGTCTGTTTTTAAGGAAAAAAACCCAAACTTGCTTCTGAGTTTTCCATTATGGCAACACAAGGATCAAACAACTCACCACAGTGTTTCAAATATTTAACCAGTAACATTTCTCAGATCTTCAGTGTATTCAAAGGCAGAATCTCAACTGAATGATAGTGAAATGTTTTTTGTAAACAAATTATATGCTGTTAAGTAGACATACTCATCTATGAGAAACAGGGGTTTAGTTTTGTCTGGGTTTGTAGCAGTCTGCTTTTCATGAGGACTGATTTAATGCTGGTAGCTCACTTCAGTGCTTTGAAGAGCAAGGAGGGATGGAAGTATTTGGAGTTATCTGTGGCACGTCAAATATGTGGAAACAAGACCATCATACATCTCTCTGCAGATCATCAATACTGTGAAGATAACCAGTGAATCTGGTGGTTGGTGAAATTATTTAGACATGACAATAGGTTCACTATAACCCCAAACACTAACTGGAAGTGTAACATGCACATTGTAAACTTCTGAAACCAAGACTGTGTAGAGTTGAAGGTATTTGGGCTTGGCAAAGGGTTAAAACCCATGAATGACTGCTAGAGGAATTTCCCTGGGTTTTCTTTACCTCTTAGCACATTATGGAGATGGAATTCTCTGTGATTTCTTACGCTGGTTTGCAAATTGCTTGGCAACAGCCTGGGCCAGCCAGCAGTCTGCAGGGACAAAAGAGCCAAGTCAGTGTGCCCCATCAGCCAGGTGAGCAGCCAGGCAAAGGCTCCAGTGCACCTCAGGCCAGGACCGAGGGCAAGGGTGAGCTTAAATGTTCGTGGTTGGAGCGAGTTCAGAGGAGGCCACAAAGATGATCAGAGGGCTGGAGCACCTCTGCTATGGGGACAGGCTGAGAGAGTTGGGCTTGTTCAGCCTGGAGAAGAGAAGGCTCGGGGACACCTTATTGCACCTTCCAGTACCTGAAGGGGCCGACAAGGAAGCTGGGGGGGACTTTTTACAAGGGCCTGTAGAGATAGGACAAGGGGTAATGGGTTTAAATTGAAAGTTGGGAGGTTTAGATTGGGTATCAGGAAGAAGTTCTTCCCGGAGAGGGTGGTGAGGCACTGGAACAGGTTGCCCAGAGAAGCTGTGGATGCCCCATCCCTGGTTGTCTTCAAGGCCAGGCTGGATGAGGCTTTGAGCAACCTGGTCTAGTGGAAGGTGTCCCTGCCCATGGCAGGGGGGTGGAACTAGATGATCCTTAAGGTCCCTTCCAACACAAACTATTCTGTGATTCCTGAATGAAGGCAAGCGGCGGCCAACGTGGCAATTTGCAGCTCTTCCCCCATAGCTCATTTCACAGCAGGCTCATCCAAGGTTACATGGCTGTGCGGTGTCAGGGCTGGCCTGGATTTGAGAAGCTAACAACAATCATGTTCAAAAGGAGTATTTTTCAACTGAGTGGTGGTGTGGGTGTGTTTTTTTTTTTTCCTTAATACAGTGGCACTGACTCTGTACCTAGATGTCAGGCTGTGTAGTTTATCTGAAAAAGATTTTGTAGGTTCTGATACTCAGGAGCAAATCAAACCAGTACCAGGCACAATGCCAGTAAAGTCATAGCCAGGATAAGTATGAATCAGCTAAACATGCTTATTGGAGATGCATACTTCTCACTCACCTCTAATTCCAGATTAAGACCAAAATGATAATATTTTTTATCTTCTAGGTTATTTTGCCCTCAGAAGGAATTATTAACCCATTTCTTTTCTATAATATCCTCCCTCTATGTGACCTGTTCTAACATGCTTGTGCCTTCTCACTTCTGTGCTACTCTGAGCTACCAGATTACCTCTGAAAACTTGAAGGCCTCCACATGACCATTCTCTTGCACCAGATTATCTTTCTCTGTTGTCTTGTAACTTTCTAGGTCCCCTTCTCAGCAGGACCTGTTGCTTCCCCTGTGTCAGAGTAGGATTAATTTGCTATAACAAAACCTTGTTCCAAACTGGTATGTCACAGAGCCTCTTGCATAATAACTATTAAAACAAAGTCACTGGCCGTGCAGGACACAGAATGCTCCTTAACACAGAATAGGCCTTGACACAGCTAAATGGAAACCTGTTGAGAAAGATGTCCTACTTTTTCAGAGAAAAGGTGGGTTGTTTACCCCACTATCCTGTTTGTTGTTACAAGGTTTTAATTTTTTTTTTTTAAGTCCTCTTCATACATTCCAGGCATTTCTTGTTATGGGCTATTGAAAGAAGAGGAAGCTGCCCACTTAGTTTTTTGAGAACTTCCCAAAAGGATCATATTGGAACTTTAAAGGTGTGCAGACATGGAATTACTGAATGAGTACATTCTTTAACCCCCATACCTGAATGCTTTGCCTTGTGAAGGGGAGACCATAACTGGAGCATTGAAAACAGCACTACCACTGGAATTACTATTCTATATAGTGATAGGAGCTTTGACTGAATACCTTACATTATTTAGTCACAAGGTAGAACAGACTTCCTGTATCATAAGTGGCTTCTAGTTAGCTGAAAGACTTCTGTTCCTTCCATAGTCAATGGGAACATTTTAGTTCTGTGTTACCAACCATTGCAATTTCATTTTATGTCTGTGACATTCAATGCTTTTGTTAAAATTCCAGACCCTGGAATTACTCAAAAGGAAGACAACATCAGTTTGTATCCCTTTCCTCCCCTTGTTCCTTCCATCTGCATCATCCTGTGAAGTGTTTCTGAGAACATTCTTCCCCTGCTAGATCAAATGTGTGATTTTTTTTTTTTTTTTTTTTAAATCTTTTTGAGGTGTGTGTGATAAGAGCAATACCTATAGCAGACTTTGGAGCCTAGTCCTCTTGCTTGCAGATTGTCGATTGCAGTTCTTGCTGCTGGTAAAATATTAAATTGCATTTCAGTGCCCTCTACTGGCTAGGTGATCCTATTCAGCTCTTCGACGTGGAGAAAAAAGTACCTACTAAAAAGTGTTTGTTACACCACTGAAACTAACTCGGAGCAACGTGGAGATACGCAGAAGTCTGTGTAATTTATTGTTTGTTCACTGGAATCATACACGATAGTGAACGCTTAGGAAGTTGTATCTTCATTCTATTTATTCTCTTGCAGTTTCGACGATGCCTTTTACAACTCCTGTGTTTTCGCCTGATGAGATTCCAGAGGACCATGAAAGAGACACCAGCAACAGGGGATGACAAACCAATACGACCAATAGTTATGTCTCATAAAGCAGGGGACAGGCCAAAGAAGAAAGTAACTTTCAGCTCTTCCTCTATAATTTTTATTATCACCAATGACGACGCTCAGCAAATAGATGACAACAGTAAACACAATGGGACAAAAGTAAATGTCATCCAAGTAAAGCCACTATAGGGATGAGCTAAAGAGACATGAGAGTGAGATGGACTTCAGCCAGTAGACCATTTAGATTGGAGACCGGTTTCAGTGGCAGTGTCTGTGGGCTGCCAAAGGAGACCACATTCTTAAGCTGTGAAATACTGAAGGGATTCTGCATCTGAAGCTGTGCAGGCAGTTCAGTTTTGGTCACACTACTGAAATCTCTGCATCTGTGCCAAAATTGCTGATGGATGTCTTTACTCTGAATTTTCTTAAAGCATACTGTAGGATTGCTGTTCAGGAGACCTTGGTCAGGCTGGAGGAATGAACTCGCAGAAATGCTAAGGTTCAGCATGGGCAAATGCAGAGTCCTGTGTTTGGGAAGGAAGAACGATGCTGCAGCACAGCAGGCTGGGCCCTGGCTGCCTGGGATGCAGCTCTCTGGAAAAGGATGTGGAGTCCTGTTGTTCAGTAAGCAGGGTATGAGCCTGCAATGTGCCCTGGCAACAAGGAAGGGCACCAGCATCCCAGGCTGTACTTGACACAATCAGAGCCAATAGTCTGAACTGATTATACCCTCAACTCAGTCGTTGTTAGACCACATCTAGATACTGCATCCAGTTTTGGGATCCCAACACAAAGACATCTGTAGACTTCAGTGGAGTCCCTCAGGATTGTCAGGGGTTGTGCTACTTGGCCTGTGAGGAGAGGCTGGGGGAGCTGCACTTGACCAGCCTGGAGACGAAACATCTTCAGGGGAACCTAATAGCAGCCTTCCAACAGAGACGGGGAGGTTTTCAACAAGATGCAGCCAGGCTATTCAAGGTGATTCATAGTGGAAGGATCGCAGACAACAAGCATGAACTGAAATGAGAGATTTCAATGGGATATAAGGAAAAGCTTTTTCACCCCAAGGACAGGCAAGCAGTGGAATAAATCAGGCTAGAGATTTCCTGAGATTCCTTCCAGCTTCAGTTATCCTGTGATCCCTGAACTTGCAGCATTGCCAACGTGCCGAATTATCAGGGAAAAGGGAGGAACGTTTGAAATTGGCTGCAGTTAATTGGTCTGAATTTGTGATTTGCAGGGTGTGAGGGGTGGTAGAAGTGATGTCGACAATGACTGGGGTTATGGTTAAACCAGGAGTTCCCAGGAAGCTGTCTCTGTGTACTCAACAAGCCGTTTTCTTGGTGCTACCTCGTAGGACCCCTGAGCTACATAGTGAAGAAAATAATGTAAATCAAAGCACCAGTGAAAAAGGTCAGTGAAAAGGGAGAATCAGATTTTTACTCTTTTTTCTTTTTTGTTACAATGTGTGTTTTATGCATCTTTATCTTGCATCCATTTATTCTGTATATGGAACAGGAGCATCATCCTATATTAGTCGTGAACTTCCTCTGGCACTCTGGTGAAAGTAATGGTTAGAGAAGAACAGGGTAACTTTTGCCTAAGTTGCAATGTGAATGTAATGATTGTCTTGGAGCTCAGTAAATGGAACAGATAGTTTTATACACCACCCCCCCCATTGTTAAGTGTTGCTGGTACAGAATGGTGACAGGATTCCGCCGCAGACATGGCTTTCTGTCACCTTTGGGTGAATAAGCTAGAAAACTAATTTTGAATTATGGTGGCTGGTTCTCTACCACATCTGTTGCACCAGTGTAATTTCTCTGCTTCAGTCTGCTAAATGGGCAGTGTGGATCTGCAATATGCAGCTTTTCCATCTCTCTGAAAGCTGTAAGAAAAGCAATTAAAAAACTACTTCCTCTGGGGACAAATGTTCTGAAAGGTCTAAAAGGAACATGCTGGATAGCTGTTGGCACTGCAGCCATTGGACCTGCAGTCAAGAATAAAACTTCGAAAATAAATAGGAAAAAATCAGGGTCTGAAAGTAGAAGCTTTCAGCTAGTTCCTGGAAGTAGCTGTTCTGACCTCAGCCCAGAACAGGTGACTGACTTTGTGCTTGTCCCCATGCTTTTGAAGAAGCAGATTCCTTACATGTGCACCCCTCTAGAGCTTTAGCACTGGTAAACTGGCTCTGTGTCATGTTTAAAAGTGCATCCAGTGTCCACTCTGATTTCTAGATTAAATCACGTGATGTGAGAGAAAGCAGATGATAAATATTTGTCTTTGTTTCTTTCAAATGTTGGTTTTGTTTTGCTACAAATGCATAGATATGTTGTCTTACCATGTCAAAGATCTGCCCTTACTGAAGCATGTTCATTGCAGTGTCAAGAACTACGTTTTCAGCCAGTGATCACTATGTCTATGCACATCTGTATTTACAAAGGGAGAAAGATGTACATTAGTGTTCCATGTCATGATTCTGTCCTTTTAACAAACTGTTTGGCATTTTAGTATTTTCTGTACACTGAGTCTTCGATGAGTGATTAAATGTACCTTATTTATATCAATGTGTTCTTGTTGAAATATTTTTTCCCGGCCATTGAGAGGGAGGTGGTTTGGTATTGTCACTTGTTGGATACAGCTTCAAGGGTAGCATTAGGCCCCGAGAAAACAATAGCATTTCAGGATTCCGGTTGACCTTTGTCAAGAAAAAGTATAGTGTCTCTAAAGAGAAACTATCCACTATTCAGATGTATGAAGTTAAAATTGAGTAATTAACAGTATATGATTTCTTTAATAACTGATGTGCAACATATTTACTACTACAATATATAGCACACTAACAATTATGTAACAATATATTGAAACTAAACACTAAAAATTGTTGTAAATTTATCTTGGCTACTTTGTGTAAATTGGTGGCCTAAACTGATATATTGTGTGAACTGTTTGAGGTAGCTTGTTCTTATGGCCTGTAAAGTGTCACCAGCTTTCTGAGCATGACCATGTGAAGTTAGCATGCTGCAGTCCTATTTGCTGATCTTTTAAGCTTAACTATTTTCTGTGGGTAAGTGCAGCACTGATGCAAAATTCACACCCTGCTACAGCATTTAAGTATTGTAAGAGTCTCTGAGTATCACTATGTTATTTATAGATTTTTTTTTTTTATGTTTTATTAAAATTTCAAGTCTGTCTTTGGTCTACTGTGGGGATGTCTCAACTGGCTAGTTTATTACAGTGGAGATGCAGAGACTTATGAGGGACCTTTCTCTCCCCCATTACAGGGAATGGAAGAGGAAGATGGTTAGCATTAATATTTGGACCATTAGCTGTTCCTAAAGTAACTGAAATGCAGCTAAGAAAGCGGAGAAGGAGTAAGTGTGACGAGAGAGGCAAAGAAGAGATGAGAAGGGTACATTATGAAGTTTTCAAATAACCTAGTTAGTAAGAACTTTTGTGATTCTGTCATGCAAAGGGAAGTGGCAGATGTGGTGAGTACCATGATAGCCTCAGAGCCATTTCTCTTAATGATGTTTCATTGATTTCATGCACTACTGGAAAAATGCATATGATAATTTAGCTAGAATGCCATTTGTAACCTGCAAATGCAGGAGCCTCAGTTAAATTGCTTCCAGCAGCTGGTGCATCAGGATGTTGGGAGGCATTTCTGCATCCCCTTCATGCTGGGGAAATGCTCTCACCCTGTGTTTTGAGGCAGTCATGCATGGTGAAGCTGTGTCCGCAGACCTGCCAGCACCGGGGCTTCTGCTGCTACACTAGATCCCATGGGATCCAGAAACTGTGGGATGTGTGGTGCACATCTTCTCCACAGCCTTGTGACCTTCCTCCTTTTTCAGCTCCCATAAGAAGCTGTATGTATGATAAAGGTGTCTGACTTCGTGCAGGAGTCAGGTCTTACACTACTAAGACATTATCTTTTGTCGCAATGATTGCATCAGTCAGGCGATCGGTATTCACAAGCATTATCCTTTGTCCTCCTGCCCTTTGCATACCAGCAGTATCCTGCTGCTGTTTCCTGCTAGAATGCTGCAACAGCTAAGTGAAACGGGTATTCAAGCACTGTGTTGTGCTAAACCATCCATAAAAGAACAGCCTTTCAGAATACGTGTACCCTTGGCTTATATAAACAACCTTCAGCTCAAGAATGGAATTTGACTGTATAATGTTCACAGGTAAGAGATGAGAAAAATCTATGATGGCAGAAGATTTCACAAGCTCCCATTTGACCCACACATATACATCTCAGTTTGAAAATACCTGCTGTCAGGTATTTCTTTTGTCAGTCTCTTTCACCACAGTTAGGGAGCCTTATTTTTTGTCTCTCATAAAGGAAAAGAGGAGGAGGGGGGTGAGGCTGGAACAGTGCCAGAGGGTGGGGATGCCCGTTCCGGCTGCTGCTAAGGGTTGGCAGTAGATCCCCATTTTGAGTCCGGCTGGTACTGGCACAAGTCCGGTCCCTCCCTCGGTGGCAACGAGAGCAGGATGAACAGCAGGAGGGAGAAGCACGGAGCTGATCTCCATTTCTTCTGCGACAGGCGAGCGCCGCGACCTTTCAGTCCCGCTTGCCTGGCACCCAAGGCCGCTTCGCCTGCTGCTCTGGCCTGGCCCTGCGTTTGTTACCCAGCTGAACGTTATGAATGCGCCTCTCTCTGTGTCTTTAAAGGATTAGTACTGAAGAATTGCTTGTAACGCATTAAAGCTGAAGAGGAAATTAAATTGATTTTCGGTTGGAATTAGAGGGCAGGTTCTTAGCAACAGCCTTGGCGCCAAGGGCCGCGGGGCCCGGCCCCGCTGCCTCGCCCCTGCCTGCCTTCTCAGCGGTGTTGGCGCTCCCTCTGGCGGCTCGCGCGCCCGGGGCCTGCCGGCAGGAAAGCCCGGCCTAAAAACCTCTTCCTGTTGCACGCTTCCCCTGCCAACGGGAAGATTCGCTGCTTCCTGGCTATTATGTTTTGTTCATATTGCATGTACTGCTGTCTTTGAAAAATTATGGGAAGTAAGCGTCTGCACGTAGCAGGAAATCTGGGCTGTCACAGTGGTAATTGGCGGAGCTTATGCCTTCACACGTCCTAGAGAATGCGGTCAGGCAGGAGGCTGGTTGTATAGATTGTGTAGGCATGGTGCTGGAGCAGCATATTAAAGTGCTTCTGTATTCATTCTTTGCCTTGCTG